CTAAAGACGTATAAATTTGGGACGTATCCACAGTGATATCAAAATGAGATACTCTGTCACCAGGATTCACCACACACTTTGAAATCCAGAGATGAAATTGGCATCGTGTGTTAAAAAGCTCGGTCGTCCTCTAGAATCTTACGTAAAACGTAGCAATTAGTGTCCAAGACACTCTATAGAAATCGTAATATAAATATAGCTCGTTAAGAGGCTTCTGCCTGAGGAAAACAGAGATGTGCACTCTGTGGACTAGCGTAACGTTATGAAAACTGTTTAGTATATTTGATCGATGCCAATATATCAATGAATTTCACGACATTATTTTAGTTTTTTAAAATAACAGCCACTCGTATTTAAAACTACACTAAATTAGTGCTGTCTGGATGACACTACAAGTTGCCTCGATACTAAGCATCTTTGGTAATAAAGGAGTAATCAATTTCTTGCAAATAACACTCGTTAAAAAGATAATAACAGAAATAAACATTAATGTTTAAGAAATAATATAACAATTATTTATTTTAATCCGTCTTATCACAATATTTAAAATTTCTTATAATTAAGGTAATAAAATATAATTGATGTTCCATATCGATTGATCTATTTACATTTTGGAACATTTACACATTTTTGTTCCAAAATGTAAATCGATCAATCGATATGGAACATCAATGATATTTTATTATCTTAATTATAAGAAATTTTAAATATTGTGGTAAGACGGATTAAAATAAATAATTGTTATAATATTCACAATATGACGCAATTACACTATCTTAATAATATAACAGAAATTATTATCAGTTTATTGTGTATAATTCGTGGTTCGGACTTTAAAAAGTTAATAATTCAACGTGGTCGATCACACTGACACGTGGAAACATCCCCCGTCTACCTTGGATGTCGAGACAATTTCGCAATTACTTGCAGCTTTTAGAAAAATAACCCACATTTCACTTTACTACGTAAATACGAGAAGGCAGACTTCGTTTATCGCCTAATAGAAGCTTGGAAGAATATTTCAGATAAGTCATTACCTCGGCCCGACCTCGAAAAATATCTTTGCGCGACACAAAAACAAGTTATCCCCAAAATGTGTTACTCCTTTCAGAAAAGTCTAAATCCGACGGTGACCACAAGACGAGGGACAAACATTCCTGTGCCTGTTACCCCACCTGTGAGAGCGAGGAATACGTAATCGAAGACACTACAACTGAAGAATCGTACGTATTCAATGTTTTTGTGAAAAGAACGTTTTCCCGCCGCCGGGGGGGGGGGGGGGTAGAAGGAAAACAACGCACGTACTACGCAAACCAAAGACATTACCGACGTACGAAGCAGAACAGTGAGCTACAAAGTAATACCGCTGGGGTCAATGTTTTCAGTACTGACAGTATATACTTCGTCCCGACTGTCTTGGTCTTTCAAGTCTTAACGTTAATACAGTAGATTCCGGTTAATTGGGCCGTCTCTTAATCGGGGAAGCCATTCATTTGGGGTAAATCTTAAAAGAACAAACATTTTTAACTCTTTACGTGGAACTTCGCGTAATTGGGCCAAAGATTTCCAGTCCCGATGCGTCCCAATTAACCGGAATCCACTGTATTTACGTATGAGACCAACGGCGTTAGCATTTATTTTTCCTGGGAAGGCAGAATTATTATTTAATAAGATTCAGTCTCAAAAGTGCGCCTTACTAACATATATACAGTTTGGCTCGTGAGACACGCCCGTATTTAAGAATAAAAACAAATAATCCGTTCCTAATAGGAAATTTATAATTTAGATTCACGTTGTGTCGAATTTTCAACTTGGTAACACTTACACGTCTGTCAACATAACTGCACTTTATACTACATCAACACAACGACGTTTAGACTATTCAGACATCTGTAGGTACCACTTAAATATTAGAATATAACTGAGGATGAAGACAGTGTGTTCCTCTTAAACGCTTGTATCTTACGTACAAGTTCACACAGAATTGTAGCATAAAAGACTCAATACGTTTACAGGGTATTTTAATATTTTGGGTTTAATTTTTAGCTGAATCTCTGTGGAGTGCCTTATAAGTTCGCTCTGTCCGTCTGTACGGCTGAATGAATTTCTGTGAAATTTGGTACAGACGTTTTGCTATTGGAGACTAGTCCAAACACATACATTTTAACATTCTGTAACTCGTAAGACCAAAATAATTCGTCTTTTGTTTCAAAGAACCCGACTAACTGAATGGAGCCATGGCCGATTACATAATTCTGTGTTGCAGGGAAACTGATACCGGCGGGACGAAGCTTTCTTGGTGCGTACCGAACTACCCCACCGTTAGGATGAAGAGAGACATTCTGTTCACGCTACCCGACATGCTAGGTTTGTACAAAATTTGGAATCGCCGACCAACATTATTTCTTTATTAAGTCAGCTGAAATTAACTAAAAACTAACTCCCTGGCAGCAGATATCGTCACAACTCTTTATATTTAAAATATATTATTATCGGTAAACCAAGACACGAACCCAGGAGTTTCCGGCGTTGATATCTTACGACAAAACAATCAATTATGCGTGAATGTTGTTTCATCAGACCATAAAATATGTTTCCTGATTATGTTCATGTCCCAACACAAAAGATCAAATGCGTACATAACACAGTATTAGTGAAACAAAAGGTTGATTTTACTTACCCCTCCTTCCCGATGTCTTCCTGCCATGGGACGACTCAGTAAAACAGCGAGACCACCGATCACTGTCCACCGCTTTGTCGCACGGAGTAATTTCGTAGTTCCAGAGCTATACGTCACGTCCTATAACTTTTGGTCCTCCCACAGTTCCCTGTACACAATTCTTCCTTTCGCATTTTCGTTTTTCTACCATTGCCTAATTTTTGTAACACTCTGTACATAAGATACTGATTCGTATGTGTCAACATTTCAGTGGCTTTTGGAGGTACTGCTGCTTTCTTCCTTGGCTGCAGTGTGCTGAGTGCAGTAGAAATATTCTACTATTGTACTCTACGTCTCTACTTTTATCTACTTGAAGTTCGTCGACAAAGAACAAGGTACATCCAACATGACTCAAGGACGCGTGTACCGACGTTCTGACTGGCACGTGCGGTAAAACGGAACGGAGCTGCCACCTCTCGGCCCACGGCAGAAACACAATGGCTACGAAAAACGAAAAATGTTTGCACACTGAAAAAAAAACCCGGAGAAAATAAGGTTAGAAAACACACGCCAGCTTAATCAACGAAATACCTTTAGCGAACTTTGTTTATACATTACAGACTATTCAATGTGCGCTGTATATAATATACAATGCGAAAAGCCTCGTAACCTCTTGATTTTAAATAAAGTCTTCGTAAACTAAAATATATGCTATTCTACACAATGTCTAAGTTTATAAATTATTTGTTCTTAGACATACCTTCGGTTATTGTTCCGTCTTTCCGCTGGTTCGTATCCTTTGAGCTTTCTATCTCATAGTACCTGTTTCACAGAATTTATGGTTTTAACAATAGTAATACAGACGTTGTGTTGTGATACAATCTGACATAACCTTCCAAAAGCTGTACCTCTTCTATCGTAACAGCAGACAGTCACACTGATTTGCAACGTGGCCGAGTTTCACTTAAAGTCAACAGAGTGCACCACCATACAACATGAAACGACAGCGACAATGGACGATATCCGGCAACTTTACTTATAGGCTGTGTCAAAACAATGAAATATATTAACATGAACGGTTAATAATACGAAATGACAAATAAATTACAACAAAATTCTATCTAAATATAATTAAAAGTTGATTAATGCATTTCTACTGTATATTCTAAAGATGCACGAACGTGGAAAACGATTTCATATACATTTTTGTTTTAAAATATCCACATGCAATAACCTGCATGTATTCGTCACAAACTATGTATTTTATGTTACGCTAAATGATAAAATAATTCTGAAAGCCTCATTTGACACACACTCATTCTTATATTTTATTTTTCTTATAAACAATTAATACAATATTTGTATTGTTATTTCAAATGAAAGTTCGTAGATTTTAATCAACAATTAATTATGTCTGTATTTGCTTAAATATTTCATAAATATAATTTCCATCCTTCTTAAAATTAAACATTAATTGATTAATACCAATTGTAATGCATCAGCAACAAAAGAAGATGATTTATATCAGATTTTTAATATAAATAACATACGCAGTTTAACCAAAAATTTGCAGAAACTTAAAATCTTAGATTTCTTGGAATCAAAATAAAGAAATTGTTTACCTTTAATCTACTTTGAATTTTTCTGGCAAGATTATTTATTATCTCTATATATGTTAATTGCCAGTTTTTTATTTTATTATCTATAAGGAATTTTGCGTTATTTCACGATAATTAACACTCGGACTCCCTTGACTGGCGTCGTGACAGCCCGATAATTTTTTTTTCCCCAGAATAAAATGTATCTATCCTACGTCAAATACATTCAAAAGTATAAACATATTATAATACGAATTATTTCTAAAATAAATAGTCACTCTTATTTCTTCTGTCCTTGAAAAAGATAAAAACTGAACACGTGTATCTATAAAAATGATATGGAAAAAAAAACATATTAAGACAATGACTGAATACTGTTTTTCTTTTGTTTTTGTGAACTGCAGATGATACGAAAGCTCATGATGAATGTCATTAGCTCCTTTAAAAATGTCTACCAAAAATCACTGAAACTTCCACAGAACATTTTGACTGGTCCCACGATAAGTTTTGATTAATTAAACGTAGCATTTACGTCTTTCTGTATCTATAGATTAATTATTACGTAATGTAGTTTCAAGCTGTAGGAAATGGTAATGCAAATGGACAGCTATTGGAAATGAACTACCGATTTAAAAAAAAATAACATTTTCCTTCATTGTTAAAACAGCATACACTTCGGGAATTAATATATATATTAAACACTTTTGTTAATTGTTTAATCTTTCGATTATTTTAAATTTAATTAATATTATTTACTACGTTATAATTGGTACCAGTTACGTACGAGGTAGTTCCTAAAAAAAAAAAAAAAACTGGAAGACGTAAGTTTCGGTATTAACATAAAAGTCACGTCCGGAGAAATTAAAGTATTTTCCACATTCACAAGCAATTATACGATTAACTTTACGTATTGCAAGATTTAAGAGACATTTTCTGAAAATATCTCCATCAACAAAGAAGTATTATCCAAGTAACACGATTTAAGAGACATTTTCTGAAAATATCTGCATCAACAATGAAGTATTATCCAAGTAACACAGACTTTTGACAGACAGCAAATACTTGCCTCAAAATTACGATAAATTAAGAACAAACTTTACACGATTAGTCATCTTTATAGTAAGATTACTTCCAAGAACACGTCACATTCCGTAAAACTACGCTCTTTTACGACTGATTCAATTACATCGCGTGGTGTAGATTTTTAACTCGGTTAATTTTGAAGATATGTTCGTGTTAAAATGGACCTCGTACTATCAGATTTATCTGCTGAAATAAACTTTAATTATCGCTATCCTTGGTCTTCGAGAGGAATAACTGGTTGTACTGAGTGTACCAAGCTTTAGAAACACTCGAACTCGGATTCGATACCTGATTACCCGCGCGTGTTTGGTTAATTTTCTTAACACGTTTAACCGTGCCAGTGTTAGAACTTGTGTCATCGACTGATAAAACGGAGGACTTATTCTCTGAAGCGTCACGTTCTGGGAGTGACGGAGTTGAGTCGTCTTGCCGTGGTTTTGGGGCCGCTCTGTGCACCTGGGCTCGAGTCGTTGGTTCTTGCTGTCGTATTTCGTGTTGACTTTTCACAGACGACTGTCTGCTTAAAGACGGACACGAAGGAGTGACTCCGGGCTGACGCAGAGACGTTGTCAGCGGGTAATCATCCGTGTTAGGAGTGACCCTCGGAATATGTCGTTTATCTCGTCTCTGTTGTGTTACCGAGGCGCTGTGCGTCATTTGAGGTTTAATGATCACTCTAGGCTCTGGTCTTTGATGAAAGTGAGGGGAAGACGTTAATGTCGTATTTTTTAATTTCGGAGATTCGTGCGTCGTCTCTAAAGAAGTTACTGGTGTCGTGTTATTCGGTTTCCTTCCCAGGGTCGACGATATTCTTGGCGGTGGAGGAGGTGGAATCCGACCAGTTTGAGTTTGTATGTTCTTCTGATACGCCGCCGTGGGTGTGCTCGGTTGAGAAACCGACCCGGGAGCGAGAAGACCGACCAGTAGGTTCGCCGGGGGTGGCAGAGAACGACGTTTTGCGGCGATCGCCTGAACAGGGGTTAATTCCCGCTCCGGAACGTCCGGCTGCTTCTCGTGTTCATTCGATTTAACCGGTCCAGAGGGTAAATCCGGCAATACCCTGGGGAAATTTCGTCTTTGAATTTTCTTGAGTGGATCCACGACTGGCAACTTTTCGTCGCCATTAGGTGTGCTGTCTCTAGACGTAACGTTGACGTCTTTAAAGCGATCTGAAACCGGCGATGCCGTAATACCGACGTCTTTCTTGGGCGTGGCACTTTTAAATTTTATGTGAGTGCCAGATGTGGGAAACGTCTTCATCTGCTTTGCTTTGAATCCGTCTCTGTACACGTGAGATGCTTCATCTTCTTTTGTATCGATTGAAATATCGTAAATTTGAGGAATCAGAATTTGTGATTGACTTTCTTCAGGTTTGGTCTGAGGCACGAAATGAGTTGACTGATGCACTGGATCAGACTTTGAATGCTGATGAGAGATGTTCAAGCCATTATTTTGATTCTTCAAGACCGGAGAACTGACTTGAAAATTTACGCTCGTAATACTTCTCCTGAGAACTGTGTCCCTTTGCGGTGAATGTGAGGGATCTGGCGACAAAGACGATGTAGCTAAGCTCTCTATACAAGTCTCTGATCTCTTAAGCACGCCTTTCTTTCGTTCCACGTGCGCTGAGATGCACCTGTCTTTACCAAGCTCCTCCAAGGATTTACTCATCTGTTCAATCGGCGTCTGTTTCAAGACGCTCGAACTCCGGGCGGCCGGAGTTGCGTCTACAGCGACAGATACCTTCTTCACCTTCGACCTTTGCAGAGTTGTCGTCGTTAATGTTGTCGCTGTCGTCGCTGGCTTTGACAGAGCTGAAAGGCTAGGTTTCGGTACGTGATTTTTTGTTTTGGTCACAGCTGACGATAATCGATCGACAGACGTATCGAAACTTCCGTCTTTCTGTAATACCGGAAGATTTGCTTGTTGCTGAACGTGAAACTTTGTGCGTCTTAAAAATCTAGGCGAACACCTGTTCACTATTTCCTGCGCGATCCATTCCCTCACTTTCGTATGAGGGTCCATCGTACTCGCACTGCATTGCCTTGAGAGTCGCCACCTTTTGAAACTGTTCTCTCCGCCTTCATCTTCATGCGTGATATTTTCTCGTACGTCTCGCCCTCCGCTTCTCACAGCTTCGTAGGTCTCGTCTCCACTGCGTTTCGCCTTCTTCTTAACACCACCTCTAACCTCTGTCGTCTCTAACGTTCTGTGTTCTCCGTCTTCGCCATCGTTTCTCCTCTGACTCATATAAAGTTCGTCATTGTTCGTCGGTTCTACGTCTTCGTAACGTTTCTTCATGAGTCTCTCTTGAACTCGAAGCCTGTCTCTTTGATAGTAGAGCCCCGCGAAGGCACATAAGTTCACCAGAAGCAGACAAACGCCGATTACGATGACTAAGCTCATGGCAAACGATGACGAACTTCCGGTCTCTACTTCTGATGGCTCGTCCGTTAGTCCCGGATTGTTTTCGACGGGTAAACGTGAACCAAATTCCCTGTCAACACCCAGGAGTACCGTAGACGTAGACCTCGACTTCTCGTTGCCACTACTGACAACTGTCCCGTAAACAGCTGGTGTCTGCGTCGCCTGAATAGGAGGAAATCTCTTCCAACTACTTTCCTCCTTCTGCATGGGTTTGTAAAACTGGGGTTCATTCGAAGATCTCTCTTCCGGTAACATTTCTGGCGTCTTACCAGAATTGACAGATTTATTCGGGGGTGGATTTTTCAATAAGGCAGGTAAATGATTGTTCCAGAAATCCATCATCGCTTGTCGATAGTGATGCCCAGTTTTCACTGGAATTCCTAGTAAAAAATTAACAATAATTAATCTATTTTACAGTGATCGTAAGGGGTTGGAATTATAATTCTGTAGACAATGTACAAGCGTGGAACGTCGCTCACCTAAATTGAGGTACGTCTGGTTGTAGACGTCGTATTCTGGCCACTCGACGTCGAAGTGAGAGGGGTATGTCTCACGGTGTGGTGCATTGGGGTTCCTGAAAGAGGGCACAGAGTAGCAGGAATATGCAAATTCTGGGGGGAGACTGCATTTAAATACGTAAGACTAAAAAATTATAATCGCACCGTCGCTAGGATTCAAGTCAAAACTTTTACGAATTCTGTGAAAGAAGTTCGCGTGCACTGATCATATACAAACCGGTCTGCTATAAAATTTAAATTTTAGAATGAAAATGTGCATAATCTATTAAATTAAAGTAAATCACGAAGTTCTTTTAAATGGTTACGAGAGGCACGACGTTTTTTTTTTTAAATCCATCTGCGTTGAACCTGCATTTGCAGTTCATATTTATATTTTGACGAAATTCCTAGATGTAAATCGATGAAATTTGGAAATTTTTAGCACGCAGGGATTATTTCTCACAAATATCTAAATAAGGTAGATTCCATTGAATTGGACCATCTCTTAATCGGGGAAGCCATTGATTTGGGACAAATCTTGAAGAATAAACCTTTTTTTAACTCTTTACGTGGAACTTCGCGTAATTGGGCCAAAGTTTTCTAGTCCCGATGCGTCCCAGTTAACCAGAATCCACTGTATCTCCGCTATTTAAAGCACACTGAGCATTCATTACATTAATTTTACGCCTTTCTCTAAAATGAACCTCGCAAATCAAAGGAATTCCTGTATTTCGTGATAACGAGGCAAATTGCGAATTACAAACGACAGTGCGCGAGTTTGTCTTAAGGCCGCTTAAGGCTTGGTCTCTGTTTAAAATGAGAGAAATGACTCGGTCTCTCCTAACCTGGATTAGAATTAAGATATGTCTTGATTATTTTCAGACCTGATATTCTTCTGAAATCTTCCGAGACTTAAGCACCAGTTGGATGATTTTTGAGCACGAAAAATGGCATTAAACATGCGTCAGATTTCTCACAATTCCAGTGTAGGAAGCTGAAAGGCGGACCAACAGATTTCTCAAGAAGAATCACTGCTGGACACAAATTTTGTCTGTCCAACCTCTTAAGACGTCATTACAGACCAGACAAAACCGCACACGAAAATTACGCACAGAAAAAAGACTGCAGTAAACCGACGTTTCGGGAACATATTCGATAACATATTCTCGGGCAATCAGCCGCGTTAAGTAGTTAACTGGAATACGTTTCCGAAACGTCGGTTTACAACGAAAATTCTTCCTGAAACTTCGGCTTAATACGACAACCAGTTAACGCAGCTGATTGCACCAGAATATTTTATTGAATCATTTCCCGAAACGTCGGTTTAATACGGAAATTTTTCCAGAAACGTCGTATTAGTTCGGTAACTAGTTAACGCGGCTGATTGCTTGAGAAAATGTTATTGAATGTTCATAAAACGTCGGTTTACTATGAAAATTATTCCCGAAACGTCGGGTCAATACGGTAACCAGGCAACGCGGTTCATTGCTCGAGAAAATGTTATTGAATTTTCACGAAACGTACGTTTATTACGGAAATTGTTGCCGAAACGTCGGTTTCCTACGGAAATTGTTACCGAAATGTCGGTTTACTCTGGTAAGCAGTTAACTCGGCTGATTACCCGAGAGAATTTTATTGAATATGTTCCCGAAACGTCGGTGTATTACGGAAATTATTGCCGAAACGACGGCTTACTACGGAAATTGTTCCCGAAACGTCAGTTTAATACGGAAATTGTTCCCGAAACATCAGTTTATTACGGAAATCGTTGCCGAAACGTGCGATTACCACGAAAAATTGTTGCCGAAACGTCGGTTCATTTCGAAATTGTTGCCAAAACGTTGGTATAGTACGGAAATTGTTTCCGAAACGTCGGTTTACTACGGAAATCAATGCCGAAACGTGGGATCACAATGAAAAATTGTTGTCGAAACGTCGGTTTATTTCGTAAATTGTTGCCGAAACGTCGGTTTACTACGAAAATGTTCCCGAAATGTCGTTTATTACGGAAATTGTTGCCGAAACGTCGGTTTACTACGGAAAATGTTTCCGAAACTTCGTTTATTACAGAAATTGTTCTCAAAACGTCGGTTTATTACGGAAGTTGTTGCCGAAACGTCGGTTTAGTATGGAAATTGTTGCCGAAACGTCGGTTTACTACGGAAATTGTTCCCGAAACGTCGGTTTACTTCGGTAATGAGTTAACGCCGCTAATTACCTGAGAGAATTTTATAGAATATATTACCGAAACGTCGGTTTATTACGGAAAGTGTCGCCGAAACGTCGGTTTACCACGAAAAAGTGTTGCCGAAACGTCGGTTTATTAAGGAAATTGTTGCCGAAACGTCGGTTCATTACGGAAAGTGTTGTCGAAACGTCGGTTTATTACGGAAATTCTTGTCGAAACGTCGGTGTATTATGGAAATTGTTTCCTAAACGTTGGTTTAATACGAAAATTGTTATCGAAACGTCGGTTTAGTACGGAAATTGTTGCCGAAACGTCGGTTAACTACGGAAATTGTTCACGAAACGTTGGTTTATTACGAAAATTGAAGCCAAAACGTCGGTTTCGCACGGGAATTGTTCCCGAAACGTCGGTGTATTACGGAAATTCTTGCCGAAACGTCGGTTTAGTACGTAAACTGCCGAAACGTCGGTTTATTACGGAAATTGTTGCCGAGACGTCTGTGTATTACGGAAAGTGTTCCCGAAACGTCGGTTTACTGTGGAAATTATTCCCGAAACGTCGGTTTATTACGGAAATTATTCCCGAAACGTCGGTTTATTACTGAAATCGTTGCCGAAACGTCGGTTTACTTCGGCAGTCAGTTAACGCGGCTGATTGCCCGAGAGAATTATATTGAATATATTACCGAAACGTCGGTTTATTACGGAAATTGATGCCGAAACGTCGGTTCACCACGTAAAATTGTTGTTGAAAAGTCGGTTTAGTACGGAAATTGTTGCCGAAACGTCGGTTTACTAAGAAAAATTGTTGCCGAAACGTCGGTTTATTATTAAATTGCTGCCGAAACGTCGGATTAGTACGAAAATTGCTGCAGAAACGTCTGCTTACTATGGAAATTATTCCCGAAACGTCGGTTTATTACGGAAATTGTTCCCGAAACGTCGGTTTGTTACGAAAATACTTTCCAAAACGTCGGTTTAGTATGAAATTGTCGAAACGTCGGTTTATTACGGAAATTGTTGCCGAAACGTCGGTTTATTACGGAAAGTTTTGCCGAGACGTCGGTTTATTACGGAAATTATTGCCGAAACGTCGGTTAACTACGGAAATAGTTGCCGAAACGTCGGTTTACCACGAAAAATTGTTGCCGAAACGTCGGTTTATTACGGAAATCCTTGCCGAAACGTCGATTGTATTACGGAAATTGTTGCCGAAACGTCGGTATACTTTGGAAATTATTCCCGAAACGGTGGTTTACTACGGAAATTGTTCCTGAAACGTCGGTTTACTACGGTAACCAGTTAACGCGGCTGATTGCAGTATTGCGAATGTGGGCATTTGTCCGTGTGCGGTTTTGTCGTGGAACCACAGATTTGTTGCGTAATGAGAGAAAGAAACGTACGCGTATTAAAATTATACGGCAGGTCTGAATAATCCGCGGGCGCAAGATTCAAAAAAAGGAGAAAAAATTATTCGCACTCTCAGCGTCTGGTTACAGAAAACTGGACTGCGGCTTGAAGAAGGACTTACCCCGTCTTAACGAAGTTCGTCCAGAACGTCATTACGGTCTCAGAGAGGCGTCTCTCTGCCTCGTTGAAGTGTCGGTGCGAGGGGAAGTTCACGCGATGGAGAGGAATTCCAAACACGTAGGGAAGTTCCTCGCCGTGGATGCTCTTGTTGACTTTGACCTCGGCATAGTCGCCGTAAACACTCCTATGAGAGAACACGTAGAAGTAAGACTTTGGATTGGCGCTGGAATGGAAGTTGGCGGTCTGGACCATTGGCGCCGAGACGCGGGCGTCGCTTAGGATGTCCAATAGGATGTCACGGTGAGTCTCTGCTGCAGACTGAGAGGGGAAACGGTTCCTGCGTCTCGTGACGTCATACGCTCTCAGGGTCTCGGCCAGACCGAGGCCGGGGTCGTATTCGAATCGATCTCTCACGTACGTGCGTATCTTCTTGTCGCGATCCTGTTCCAAAATTCCGTACTGCAGCGACACGGCGTCTAGGAGACCGTAGCTCTCCATTTGCGTCACTCCGTATAGCAGCTCGTACCTGAACCACAAACACGTCACAGCTTACGTAAGATAACACCAGATGAGCACGTTCGAATGTCTGTCGTTTTTCTGTACTTATGACTCCGTTACAAACAAAAACGTGTGTTAATAAAGAAAGTTAAAATTAAGAGAACATCGATAAACTACAGGTAGCCCTCGATTTACGACGGTCCAATTTACGCCGATTCACAATAACGCCGATTTTGAAACCAGGAAGTCAAAAAGTGAAAAAAAATTACAATTATTTATAACGTTTTACAATGTATTTCGTATAATATATAATATATTTTTTTAAATTCCCTTTATTTTATTTATGTTATTTCGGAGCTTTAAATGTAATGCCATTATATTACTCGTCAACGTTCGGGTGCTGGGACTTCCCATTGATTTACATTATAAAAAGAGTTTCAATTTACGCCGGTTCGTCCAGGAATGTATCCCCGGCGTAAATCGAGGGCTACCTGTATTTGTCTCTTGTTAACTTCAATAATATCCTTCACGAAGAATCTCAGAAACTCTTCTAGACAGGACGAGTTTGAAAACAAACGAA